GGTTGGCTTGAGTCCGCAGTTAGTCCCCAGTAACACAGAGCTGCCCTAGTGGTGGAAGATCTATTTTGTCTTCCCTACCTAGCACAGTTCACAACTTAGCACTGACCAGCTGCAAGGATCCTGGCGGGCCCTGGTATGGTTGTAGCATCAGACTCAATGTTCGGGAAAAGCGAGATCTGTGCAATAGGCAATGTAGTTCCATCTGGGCACCAGCCAGCTCATGTGCCCCAGAGAGCTCTCACATCTCACACTGAACCAGGGACAAAGGGGGCAGGAGTATAAAAGTTCTTGTTTTACAACAAACCGGGATCGGTTAGAAGAGCTGAGAGGCGGTGGGGTGCTCTGTGCTGCCGCCCAAGCTTTCTGAAGGCTGTCATCTGCTTCCCGCTCGGCCTGGAACTGTTCCCTTGATGCTGGAGACATCAGTTCCTCCTTGGACTGTGGACTGGGGCTTGGTCCCTCTGGAAGCGATGCAGGTGCTGGGGCTGTTTTTATTGACTGTGAACCGCTGTTCGCTGGTGCACTATGTGGTATCTCAGGCTCTGGCTGAGCCTCTTGGGTAGGGTTATCTGCTGCTTCTGCCAGTTCAGGCTCGCTGGTGCCCTCTGGCGTTGGAGCTGTAGATGGGTTTGCAAGCGCTAGACTCAGTGCTGGCAATGGTTCTGGTGCTGGTTGCGTTGCCAGTTCCGGTTTTGGGACTGGCTTTGGCTGGGTCTCTGGGATTGGATCCACTACGGCTGTTGCAGTCGTTGGCAGGGGATCCGGTTCCACCACCTTTGTTTGGGTCTATGGTAACACAGACGGGGCCCTGGTGGACGGCTCAGGAACAGGGATGGGGGTGAAAGCTTGCTTAGCCTGGCTGCGGGTGACTATTTTCACCCTCTTGGCTAGCTTTACATGGTTGGCCAAGTCTTCCCCCAGCAGCATGGGAATGGGATAATTGTTATAGACTACAAAAGTCCACATTTCTGACCAGCCTTTGTACTGGACATGCAACTTGGCTGTAGGCAAGGTTACAGACTGTGACACGAAGGGTTGAATTGTTACTGGAGCCTCCGGGTTGATGAGTTTGGGGTCCACTAGGGATTGGTGGATAGTTGACACTTGTGCCCCAGTGTCCCTCCAAGCGATAACCTTCTTTCCGCCCACTTTCAGGGTTTTCCTTTGCTTCGAAGGTATGAGAGAGGCATCTGGGTCTGGGGATCTTTGGTGTGATTGGGGTGTAATGAACTGTAATCGGTTGGGGTTCTTGGGGCAGTGAGCCTTTATATGTCCCAGTTCATTACATTTAAAACATCGCCCTGCTAAGGTATCACCGGGGCGATGTTGGTTGGTGGAGACTGGTGTGGTGGGGTGAGAAGGCGTCTGGGGTTTTCCTTGGGATGTGGGTGGGGCCTTGGGTTGGGTTGTTTCCGATGGTAAGGTTTGGTTTCGGGATGCCCCTTCTGATATTCGCTCCAACTGCTACTAGTTTTTTTTTTTTGCCACCTCCACCCATTTGGCTCCAAACTCCCCCGCCTCGGTTACAGTTTTGGGCTTCCTATTTAGGATGTACCTTTTTATTTCCTCAGGAACACCCTCTAAAAAACTGCTCCATTTTTACTAGGGAAACCAGATCTTCCAGAGATTTAACATTTGCTCCTGATACCCAGGCATCA